AAATGAACAAATCTGAGAGAGGTCCACATGTAGTACCTATATATGTAATATCAAAGCATTTGCACTTGCGGTTTTTAACAAGAAGTCGAAAATATCAGTTTTTACCAAAAATGACAAAAATATTCACCAAAATTAGAGAATTGAAGATATCATCACGAAATGAACAAATCTGAGAGAGGTCCACATGTAGTACCTATATATGTAGTATCAAAGCAATTGGACTTGCGGTTTTTAACAGGAAGTCGAAAATATCAGTTTTTACCAAAAATGACAAAAATATTCACCAAAATTAAAGAATTAAAGATATCATTACAAAATTAACAAATCTGAGAGAGGTCCACATGTAGTACCTATAGATGTAATATCAAAGCAATTGCACTTGCGGTTTTTAACAAGAAGTCGAAAATATCAGTTTTTACCAAAAATGACAAAAATATTCACCAAAATTAGAGAATTAAAGATATCAACATGAAATGAACAAACCTAAGAGAGGTCTACCCAAGGTACATATACACCAAGTATAAAAGCATTTAGGCTTGTAGTTTTCAAGAAGAAGTCGAAAAAGTAAAACATTGACACGGACGACGGACGACGACGGACGACGACGGACGACGACGACGGACAATCACTCATATGATAAGCTCCGCTCGACAAAGTCGACAGCGGAGCTAATAAAAACATATGGTCATGGAAGTACTTTTTGCATAAAAAATGGTTTAAGAATTATGATGTCTGTGCATATAAATATTAGTTTCCATGGGAAAAATTACATTTAGTGACATAAAGTAAAAAAATAATAATATGTTGTTACAAAATGGGAGATTTTGAGGAATTCAAGATTCTGAGGAATACTAATTATTTCCCAATGAAATAATTACTTTACATACAAACCAAAACTGTAATTAACAGTAAATCATGTAGCATTTGATATATAAAGTATTATTATAAATCTGTCACTATAATGCCATAAATTACAGCATACCATAATTTTGCGGTATTGCACTGGGTATTTTCAATCTACCATATTAGGAAATGCGAATTCCAAATATGGAGCGATTACGCGCATAAGCGTCCTCTAATAATAAAAAAACAAACATGGCTGTCTCCAAGATTTGACCGGACCCCACACAAAGAAATTCACTAAATCTGCTAAACGTTTTGGATTTCGGCATTCCCATGTTGTATTCCTGGCAGGAAAAGACAGTACGCAGTCGCATCAACCTTCACTGCACGTCGGTCAATACTCTCGCTGTACTGCCTTTGTGCATACTTTGCAGTATTCTCGTAATAACTTCATAATATGTGATGCAACAACTATTAAAGGTATTCGTTAGAATACAAAAATAGCAAAATTTGTTGAGTAAAAACTGAAATTTGACTCAAATTTTGTCTGTTGGCTCCAAAAATAGAAATATTTATATATATTATCAAATATTTCCTGAAATATTAAAAAAATATGAGAATAAAGTGCAAAAACATTTTGGATGAGAAAGTCTGGAGGTGAAAAGGTTAACTTTGACACTTACCCTAACAGCAGTACCATTAGTTCAAGACATGTTGACTGGATCTCCTGTTGGCACGTAGTCATGAACTTATGTTTCAATGAAATCATCTCAGCCAGTGATGTTGGTGTGGGTTGTCCAAGTATTGCCAAATCAAAGTGCTTCTTAAGTTTGATATAACTGTAAAAAAAATATGCAAATTAGATCTTTGAGTATGCACATTGCTCCATACATTTTGCAAAATGGTTTAAAGAAAATGCAAAAAAAAAGTGCCTAAAAAGTACCTTTTATTTGTAGAATGTGAATGAGTATAAGACATTACGAATAATTATGCAAATTAGATTATTGAATATGCAAAACAATTCACACAATATGCATATTGGTTTTTAAAAATATTCGTGCATGACAAGTACTTCCTATTTATTTACAAGACATGACTGAGCATAAGGCATTAAAGATTATTATGCAAAGTAGATAATTGAATATGGAAATTAGTCATTAGTGAACCTAAATTAAGCAATTATGAAGCACTACTCCAAAAGACATTTCCTTTTGAATAATTCAAATTCCATTAAAACTTACGCTTGTTCAAAAAACTCTGTGGCATTGAGAGGCATATTCGGGATAATAACGTCACCTTTCAGTACTTCGCCATCATCAATATTAGCAACAACTAGCCCAGGAATCTGAATAAATACATAATAACATTCTCAGTAATATGAAATAAATGATTCTTTGCATTATTGTCCCAATCAAAGTAGTACATGTATTTTGAATATTCCATATACATTGTATACATGTATATTGTCTAAAATACTTATAATAATAAGTACCTTCGTTTAATGCAGTTTGACAACTTATCTGTACTTCAAATTCCGAAATTTGTATTCTATGCTTCTAAACATAGAGACAATCTACTTAACCAGTTGTGACTAGTTGATCCAACAATTATTTAAAGGAATCCCTCTGTATGTATTTTTCTATGTTTGATTTATTGTACCATAGGCCTGAGGCCATTGTACTGAATACAATTCATATCATATCATAATAAGTAACTCTTCAGAAATGTACCAGTACATCTGTTTTACTAATCTTGTGATTTACTGTAGAATCATTTAATATTACAGTCTAATATTTGTGGACAGGAAAATTTGCTTTGGTGCCTATGGGACATGTTATTCAGAATAAAACACCAAATCTGAAAGATATGTTGCAACTGGTATATGGTGACATTATGCATGTGAAACTTGAAGTAGAAGATTCCAGGGAAAGGGTGACTGGATGATGAGTGTTCTGGCAAACTGGCAATGGGACATGCCATTATATGGTAAATGTAGAACACGACATTCGCAATGCTAATATTATTAATATAAGCTGACAAAATCAAATATCAACAAACTACCAATCAATACACTTTACATTTATCATTTCTTGATAATATCCATTTTCAGTTTTATGCTCGTATTATATTTTTTCCAAGTGTTACACAGTAATGATTTTGTAACTAAAAAGCAATGGAATATTCCAACTACGCGTCCCTCGTGACCAAACATTAAAAGCGTACCACGTCCAGTGTTTTGATATCAGTTTATCAAATGCTCAGAAAAAGTGTCTGGGATGTTGCAAAGTCCCTCGGTAATTATCTACCAGGTGCTGGAGTTACATTTGTATGTGTATATAAATATCTGGCGCCCACTGTAAAGTTTCTTCAATGTTTCTTCTTGAGTTCTCATTATTTTGCCATAGTGAAGGGCTGCTGCTACCCGGTCAGCATAAAAAACCTTAAGTTTATTCTAGAGATGCTTTATTTTTTGTTTACACTGATGTAAAAGAGTGAAATTTAATACCCCCAAAATTACGCTACATGCAAAATAATTAAATAAAATACTTGCAAAATGTATTCCATAGTAAATGACAGTATTGAAATATTTGAGATAATTTGAGATGTTCCCTTACTTGTTCTACTCTGTCAACAGACTCTATATATTTAGAATGGCATCCCATGAGAAATGTACCTGGTGCTTCTACTAAGTCCAGTAGATGATATGGCAGTATTGGTACATATGTATGCGGCCATTTTAACGGCTGGATGTACGTCATAAAACTCTGCAAACAAAATTTAATAATATATCATGTACTTTCTCAATTGAAGGTGATACTCAAGAAAAAAAGTTATTACAAATGCCTCATATTATTATATTTTTTTTAGTACTTAGAGTAATGCCTAGCTAGAACATGATTGATCGTAAACTTGGCAACGAAGGACATTTATTTTCCCTTCAAAAAGTGCCCCCCTCCCTCCCTGTCATCAAGTCCACTGTTCCCCAAATCTAGGTAACCATGGTATTTGGAATAGTGGACTTGATGACGGGGGTTGAATGGAACATTATTTGAGGGGCAAAAACATGTATCGTGACTCTTTGCTCTGAATGAAATCTCTGTAGTCATTTGCATCAAAGGCCTATTAACAGCCTGGAATCCCCAGCACTAATAATGGCAGACATGAAAGAAAAGATTGAACCAATCATCACATGTAAATCCACAACTCTTTGCTACAAGCATGCCTTGTACTGAGAAAAGAAACATGAATAGCTGACTGGTATGAATGGTTGTTATTATATCTATCCATGCAGTGCTATTCTCTAATATAGCTCATCGGTGGTCAAGGCAGAATGTATACTCTAATTTTCAGCCGTTATCTAGAACATGCCAATCAAACTTTCTATTAAACCACTATTCACACACTGATAATCTATCACTATTCCTAAGTCTTATAAGTTATTGAAATGATAGCTGTTCTGTAACAAACAAGTGCATACATTTCCATGTACATAGAATAGAATTCTTTATAAAGGTAGCGAGAGGGGAAACACAAATAATAGTTTAATAGGTGATTTTCCGTTCAACTGCGAGATGCATGAAAGACGCGCGTCGAATGTCTGCGGCAAAAATTGAACAGTTTGATTTCTCACATCGACCGGCCGATTTTCGACAAAGGAATATTGCTTTCGAATACCCTCACTAAATCGAAATTACCTATCATCAAATGTGTACAGCACAATATTAAGCATGGAAATATCCCCAAAATACTTTCGCGTTTGTCGAATCCCACGCGATGTTTGACGCCACTATGACCTTTGTTTGTCCTGTTTTTACGTTCGATTTCACGCATAACGCGTTATTCTCGCAGTGAACGGAAAATGGTCTATTGAGATTAGGACTTTCCTAACCAGTTACTATGCATGCAGTTATACAATCATATAGGTTTCGTGTTAATATTTGCTCAGTAACGATAATGTCTTTTTGGTTTAACGAGTTAATAAAGTTTTTACATAGTTGATCGATCATAAAACTATCCGTGAGACAATTTACAATATGTAAGAATATTGCATATGTAGTTTATTAATACCGGTAATGTATTCCTTATGTTGTACCACTGTTCAATGTACTTTATGGTTTCTTTGATTACTGAAGTGTTCTTATTACCATGTATGGTTTATCTAGTTTGTGGGAGATTTGTAAATTACAACTGTTATGTTAATTTTAAAGGGCCATGGTCATCATGTGACACATGTTTGAATTTCATGTAAACCAGGACACAATGCCATGACCAATGCCCTTTAATTAACAGGTGGTTGTCACAGCAGCAGAGCTTTTCTATGGCCAGGTTTAGTAGTTGTATTGGCAATTTTGGCCTAATTAATGTGGTCATACACAGATTCAATTGAGGATGAACTCCATTATGTTATGAAATTCCCAAAACATATTACAATTAGAAACAAATTGTTTGACTCAATTAGAAATAAAACTGTTACGGTAATTCCCATTTGATGGATGAAGATTCAAAATTTAAATACATTATGGGCAACACTTCCACATTGATACATCTTGGCATTTTTATAAAAAAAAAAAGTATGGTAATGTGATACAGTAATTATCAATTCCCTGGTTTTTCCAAGTCATTTTGTTAAACTGTTTTTTTTTGTTTTTTTTGTTTATGTATTGTTATTTAGTTATAGATTTGACTATGTTCTACTCAAAATGAATAATGTCAATAAAGTTATTATTATATTAATATTGGAGCATGAAGTACAAACATAACTGTAATATTGATCCGTTTGACACAGTTTATACCATTTCTAATTAAGGTGTGGAAAAGCACATTGTATAGAGTGAAAGAGTACTATGTGTATGTTTGTTAATTCTCAACTCAATACAATTGAATGTTTGTTAAATCTTACCTCCATAACCGGTGTAATGAGACTGTAGTCATTTGATAAAAACACAATTTTTTGTTGAGTTAAAATACATGTCATCAATTCAATAATATGTTCAGCACTAAATCGCAAGAATGGATATTGTAAATACATATCACAGACAGGTTTATCAGTGTCTTCTGATGGTCGTATGTGTATCGGCATACCGTACAATTTAAATACCTGGAAAAATTACAGAAAATATCATTAATACATGTATATATATAAAGCACCACCATTGTTTTGAATACTGGTACTTCCAATGGAACCCACATAGAACACAACTGTCACTTTATTGAATGCAGACTCTATATATAGAACAAAAATAATTTCATTAATTGCTTTAAAATTTTGAAAATTTTTTTTTGTTAACTTTGCAAATCAGGAAAAAATTTGAATTATGTAGTGAAAATATCATGGGGGTTCATGCGAGATTTTACAAATGCAAGTTTTAGGAGTATTTCTGTTCTTAATAATGTGCTGTACACATTTGATGATGGTCAATTTTGATGAAGGGGATTTCAGCGCAATATTCCCCTCTGAAAGACCAGCACTTTGACATTGAGCTATAAAAAGTCAAATCAAATCGTTTGTTTTTTTGGTATTTCACATATTACATGAGATCTCACAGTGAACAGAAAACCACTTATTATCAAATGGCAAATATTTTGCATAAATTAAAACAATGATTAAATATTTTCCCGACATGAAATAAGTAAGGGACGACGTCAAAAGATCGATGTCGGATAAAAAACTTATTTCCTTTAGTTTGGGGGTGGGGGGTGGTGGGTTTGACCTCAAAAAGTTTCCATCCTACAAAAACGATTTTATTTTTTAATGAAGTCAAAAACATCTTGGAGTATTTGTAGTTCGTTTTTTTCTATCCAATCATGGACAGAAATAACCGAAAAAGGGAAAAAAAACAGAAAAATGTTTGGTTCAAGTGTAAATTTGTGTGTCAAATGAGGTGCATTTGTAAAATCTTTTTACACCCACCCGACAACCAACTGCTATGCAATACTACTGTCCGATTATCAATTTGTATTTAAT